CCCCAAAACCCCAAAACCCCAAAACCCCAAAACCCCGAACATGAGAATTAGTATTGATTAGAATAATATTAAAACTACCAGGAAAGAATGGAGCCTCTGCCTGAAATCATGATTTATGTGATCGGAACATATCTAAAATTCAAAGAATTCTCACGTCTCTCCTTAACATCCAAGAAAATGATGAAGAAGACCTTTAACCCAAGAATAATGATATCTAAAAGAGAGGTGATGAGAATTTTCTCCTCTGACCTGGATGGCTTCCGAATGATTATTCATTCCATATCGTACGAGCTTGGACCAAAAAGTCACTCGACACCAACTCTAAATGACGGACATGATTGGCTTGGGATCCTCAAGGAAGGCCTCTCTCTTAAATCTGGTTGGGCTCAAAACAACAAGGGCGTTTTGGATAAAATATCAAAAATACTCAGAAACCCAGAGAACAACCTGCCTTCTTTCCACAAGAACAGTTTTTCCCAGCTCGAAACGACAATGCAGGAGCAACTTTTTGAAGAATCGACACAGGGTGGGTCTTCATTTGGAGAATTTTCACCATCTAATTCTCTGATAGAATTTGATTACTTTACCAGCACTGAAAATATATATCTCCTCTACGCTTATTATTACAAGCACGAGTTTGAGATCACCAAAAGTTGCTCAAAGACTACACAGATTTGTCAATTTCATGAATCACTAGTGGAGTATATAAAATTTTGTTGTAAAATTCACAAAATGTCTATACTTAGTTGCTATGACGAAGAGAGACCTCTCCTGTTTCTTTATGAATACGCTGTGAGGTGGAGCGCTTACTGTAATTCCTTATGGAAACTTTCGTGCCTCCTCTCCAACTTTGAGAATAATCTCAACCAATGATATAATGATATTTGGGGTGAAGGACGCCATCGGTTTAGAATATATAAAATGATGACAAGAATTTGGAGTTGAGTTATTAATACACCCGAAATAATTCCCCAGCTGAAGAAGTGCCTTAGACTTGTCTTAGAGAGTTATCATAAGGATATTATTAGCCATATTGAGAACAACAGCCAGAGGAAAGAAACCATCGGGATAGAATCTGTTCTCCAAAAGTTTTTTCACTCCTTAGTAGATTGCTCGATTAATGAGACGTCTGTTCATTTCCTTGGAAGTACTGAGATTCAATTTGATGGATTATACCTAAACTTTGAAACAGTGATCTTAGAGGACTCTAAAGTGTTCATCAAATAAACTGCTTGAATCTGGGTACAAAATCAAAAACCTGAAAGGAGTCTTAGGGCCACTGGAGGAATACTCAAATATAATCCAAAGTATACTTCCCATTAGGTCCCAAAAGCAGTTTGAGAAGTCAAAGACGAATGTGTTAATCACTTTTGTAAGGTTCATCCTCCTCAAAAGAGTGAAGCAGTTCTCAACATTTGATTTCTCAAAGATTAAGAAGAAGTGGAACCCTAGTTATGAGTCAGCCCTGAACAACTTATTCAGAGATACAGAGTCTGTGTTCTCTAAGCATCTTGAGAAGGTAATAAAAGAAAAGAAATACGATTTATCCAAATTCCACAAATATTGGCTGATCATGACTGGAAAAGATGCTAGGCTGATGAAGAAGTTGTATGATAATACCATGAAGATGTACGATTGTTATTCTAAGAGTCTTTCCTCCCAAGATGCCAAGATAAGGGCGATAAAAGCTCAAATTGGAATAAAGTGCAAATAAAAATCAAAATGAAGCCTTAGATTCTCTGACATCTGAGGTACCTGTCAAGATTATTGAGCAGAAATTAGCAGAATATGTAGCTAAGGATGGACAGAGGCCTACAGAGAGTATGTATAGCACGGAATACACTTCCTCAGGAAAATCCTCCCTAGCCACGAGGTTTTCTACAATGGAAGAATCTAAGTTTCTAGGACCATCCGAGTCAGAAGAGGAAAGGGATACTTTTGACTCATCAACAGTTAGTCTAGTAAATGAATTTTCTTCCATTTTTAAAGAGAAAAACTCATCTAAAGAATGAAAATCAATGAAGAAGAGAGGTGAAATGTTATTTCAGAGAGTCAAGAAGGATCGGAGCTCATCTTTTTAGTGAAATTTTCACCTATTTAATTAAATTATCTTCCCAATTAACAGATATAGACTAGGGGTTTTGGGGTTTTGGGGTTTTGGGGTTTTGGGG